ACCCATCATTATAATATTATATATAATTTGTATCATAATATAATGGTATATATAATATGTATCATTACATATTATTTAAATATATTTTCATTTCCATCTAGCCTTCTAACCAATATAAGTCTAGGATTTTTTTTTTTTTATTTAGGGAAAAAATTTAGGTTTTTTTTTTCTTGAAATTTATTTGCTAAATATGTATATATTTGAGAATTATATTGTGCATTCATTTACTTGGTTTTTATTGATTTTCATTTTATATAGACTTATTAAAGGGACACTACCAGAAATAATGTCTATTTTTTTTTTCTAATATAAATCTAGATTTTTTTTCTTGAAATTTATTTGCAATATATATACATATATATATATATATATATATATATTTGAGAATTAAATCACCCCCCTCTAATAGTTAGTTAGCGGAAGTTAGTTAAATCACCCCTTTCTAATAGTTGAGGGGGGTTTTTTGACCAAAAAAATAGAAAAGAAGGGTTTAGTGAAAAACACAGATAGAAAAAAAGAGTTTAATGTAGTTCACCCTAAAATGTATGTTATGCATGCCATATACTCATGCTACATATTAATTACTAGTAAAAGTTATATTTTTAATATATAATAATATTATACTCCCTCCGTTCCAAAATAAGTGTCATTCTTTCCTTTTTTGTTTGTCCCAAAATAATAGTCCACTTTCATTTTTCAAACAATATATTTTACATTTTTTCATATACGTCTTTTAAGTTTAAAATTTCAAACTTGAATATTCAAAACTTAAAAGGGCAAGTTAGTAATTTTCCCGGCAGACAATGCATGTCCCACATGTCCCCTTAAAAATTACTACTCTCCATAATCGACACTTAAATTGGGATAGAGGAAGTATTAATATTAGTGTAAATTATTTTTTATTTAACAAAAATATATATTTAAAATATAATATATTATATAATAGTGTAAATTATTTTTTGGGACAAAAAAATATTTATCATTTAATATATTTTTATTTATTTTATACAATATTATTAAATTATTATGCAACATATACAATATATTATTATAAACCGTATCTATATTATATTATAGATATATTATTTAATATTTTTTATTTATTATTTATTATAATATACTATATCTTAAATATATTATATATTATATAACAAATGTATAGATGATGCATATGCATGCACTTAGGTGATAGTGTTTTTATACTTATGTATTGGGTATTATTAAAATTTGTCATTTTAAATTGAAAATTATATTTTATTATAGTGTATTGGGTATTTTTAATATTTACAAAATAATTGAATTACATAAAGGCTTTTTATACTGATGAAAAAAAATTAAAATAAAATTAAAAAATATTATGTACATCTCTAATAAATATGTATTATTAAACACTGCTATTATTTTTTATTTTTAAAATTGTGACAATAACCATGTTAATAAACATCATTTTGACTTTTCCTTGTCACTCAAGAAAATAAAATTATGTTTCTGTCTTTTTAAGACTGCAAAAACAGAAAACAAAAACGTCCCTAAACGCAATCTAAACTGCATTTATTTTTGCTTTTTAAGAGTTGATAATAGAAAACAAAATTTATGTTATTTCATCTTCGTTGCTTTTGAGTTTCATATGCATGCCTTTGCAGAAATCTGTAAAAGTAAAAGGGTAATTTTCAATTTTTTTTTATTTTTTTTCCTTCCAACTAATACTACAAATGAAAGAGTTGATATTAAATTTGGTAGATGAAATCATGAAGACAGTGTCAGAGACTGTACCCAAAGACCAGATGGATGTCAGATTCACGCCGAACATGCTCCGGGAGGACTCCGGCGATATGCTGAACACCGACATGGACGAGATCAGTTTCTGAAAAAGAGGAGTCAGATCGTTGGCACTCCGCAAACCCACCTCCCACTCCGACACTCCACTTCGTCTCCGGCAGATTCAGTCATTTTCACTTCTTCGCCCATCTTCCAATCTAATCCCAAAATCACAAGTTTAGGGTTTTCTTCATTTTCAATTCCTGTTCGTAAACATTTGTAGAAATTTTGAAGAATTGGTTTGGGTTTAGATTAAAAGTGAGAGATGGATTATGGAGAGAGAGAGAGAGAGAGAGAGAGAGAGAGAGGGAAGTATGTGAACAGTGGCGGAGCCAGTTGGGAATAGCTGGGGGAATTGCGGGGTCAATTGCCGCCACTGATTTTTATTTTTATTTTTAATTTGTTCCGCAAATTTTTATAATTTTTTTTTAATAAAAACTTGAAAAAGTCAAAAAAAAAAAATCCTCATTTTTTTGCAACTCATTTTACCCAACAAAATTTTCAAAATTCAATAAAGACTAATATTCAAGAATCAAAATTCAGGGAAAAAAAACCCTACTCTGCTATTAAATTTACAGTTATTTGTATTTTATATACACAAAATTTTATAATTATAATAGTCTCTAGATTGAATTCTTAAAAAATTCACAAAAACTCGTAAAAAAAACTTCTAGCAGTAAAAAAGCACCCCTCATTTGTTAATTCATTTGCATAACAAAATTTTTAAATTTGAGAAAGATCATATCTTTTCTCCTCTAGTGGGTCCCATAAAATTTTTAAGAATCAAAATCCAAAAAAAAAAAATCTCTCTTTACTATTTATTATTTTGGTTCAAATTTTCTTATCTTATTATTGTTAATGGTTGCCCCAACTAACTTAATTTTCAGTTCCGCCACTACGTGTGAAGGATTGAGGCAATTGAGCCCATTGATGGATTGGATAGGATGATGAACAAAAAGAAAATAGGTTAGGGATTTTGATTTGGAAATGGATTCTCTCTATTAGTTTTCTCTCTAACAATCCAAAAACAATGAACATGGCAAGTTAATTTAAAGGCGAAGGTTATCTTTGTTATACACATGTAACTAGAACTATAGGGCTGCAAATGAACCAAGTCGAACCTTAACAATATTGAGCTCTGCTTGTGTAAATTCGCGAAGATAAACTCGTGTAAGCTTATATATGTTCGTGAATATAGGCTCATATAGGACTCGTGAACATGTAAACATAAACTTGAATGAGTTCATGAACGTAAGATCATGAACATAGACTTATGTAAAAAAATTTATGTTCATGAGTAAAAACATTTATGTTCATGAACAAACCAAATAATCTTGAAAACGAGTTCAGAAGACTTTTGTTATTAAACGAGCCGAGCGTAAGTTTTTTTAAAATAATGACGGGCCGAGTCTAAGCTCAACTTTTTAAGCTCATCATGATCCCAAGCCAAGCCCAATTTGAGCCAACAAACGAGTTGAGCCCGAACAAGCTCAAACTTGACTCGGTTCATTTGGAGCCCTAATTAGGAGGTAAGTGTTATAATTCAAAACACAAAGGAGGTTAGTATAATAAATCCTAACTATAGGGAATAACTGTAATAAACTCTAATTATATAGGAGGTAAGTGTAATTCATCCTTTTTATTATTGCGCTCACCCAAATAAATAGGACATCATTTGGAGAAATTATTATATAGTCCCCAACAATTGGCTCAAGCCAATTACGAAATTATACATAAACAAAAAGCGATAGAAAATGACATAAAACTGACACATATGTTTATACGCCGACACATATGTTTATATGTCGCTTTGCAATCGAGCATGCTTATGTGTCGCTTCACAATCGTCTCGGGACCGATAATTCAAGAGCCGAAATAATTTCTCAAACTATTTGATCTGACAAGATGATTAAAGCACTTTAAAGATTGCATGGGTCCATGCATAATTGAGCCAAGTAGGAATTACCTTTTTTTGGTAATAACCTAAAATCTTGACAAGAAGTAATTTTAAAATGTCCAGAATGGGGTCGTCATCTCCATAATTGTACGTCGCCATTAATTAGTGCAGAGCATAACTTTATCCTGTTTTGACAATCTGTCATGGCGCGGGCCTATGCCTAGTTTTGCTCATCTTTGTCCCGGATCATACAACCTACCATGTGCAATAAATTCTAGAATGGTAGAAGAAAAATGCACCATATGTTCGCGCGAGAATTGAATGGCAAAATACATTCTAATTCAAACCTCATTGAACATATGAGTGCACACTTAACATCACATGCAGAGTAAAGTCCTCCGAAAAAAATGTCACTGCGTATAAAATGGCTAAAGGACATGTTGCCCAAAGAAAAAACACCCAAGATGAACGAGAAGAATTAATGACAAATAAAAATATAAGAAAAATATAGATAAACAATCATACAAAAACAAAAGCATTTTTTCCTTCAGTCATAGAAAGCAGTCTCTTTGGAGATCAATGGAGTTGCAGAACAAAGAAAATGAATACAATCTCCTTCACTCATAAAAGCACTCTCTTTCTTGTACGCATTTTCCTTGACCTGGCTTTTATATGGTACACTATGTTGTGACAAATACCACGAAGTAAGAACGCAATAAAAAATCGACAAAAATGTAAACACACGTACACAAGAAACATAAAGATTTACGTGATTCGGTGTAATGTCTACGTCCACGGCTCTCATACCACACCCGAAACCCTAAATGTGCTTATCTACTATGCTACGGCTCTCATAACACACCCGAAACCCTAAATGTGCTTATCTATTATGCTATAAGAGAGATTTTTTTAAAAACAGTTGGGTCATAATGCAACCCTGGCCAAAACAAAATTAAGACCACAACATCACACACAAAACCCTAGCAAAGTGTTCGGGTAACTAGAATTTGAACCACAAGTCAACATGACAAAATCTAGAACAAATGATGGTTTTACAGAGAATGATCCTGATATCAATGATTCACTGCGCATCTTTTTGCTACCAAGAATAAGGGTAATTCCGGTTTATTGTTTTTTGTTCAATAAAGTAGAAAACCATAGGAAAATTTGAACCATTAAACTACAGTCTTATCTTCTACAATACTGGTATCCCTATCACTAATGGTGAATTCAGGACTCATCAGTTTCATCCGGATTTGGCAACAAACATACCTATGGTTGTAGATACAATGCAACAAACAATTTTATTCATGCAATAATTAATCAAGTTGCTATTACATGGTACTATCACACAAGGTTAAAACTAAAACCACGAAGATAATTCATTTTGCCAAACACCACCTCTTCAGTGATGAGTGAACTCTTATTCGTCACACACTCCTTTTGGTAATCCTGACCTTCAGACCATGTTTCATATGAAGTAACATTGAACTTCTTGGGGAAATAGGATGACCTTCTGCCACTTGAATATGATAATTATGGATAATGGTTGATGCAACTATCTTCATTTCAATGAAAGCCAACTGCTTCCCTAAACAACTCCTCGGTCCAGCATTGAATGTCGGGAACTTGAAAGATGGTTCATGTTTGATTCCTCCTCGCGCAGAAATCCACCTTTCCGGCTTAAACTCTAAGCAATCTTCTCCCCATACTGTCTCCATCCTTCCAATCGAATAAAAAGACAGCAATACCCTTGAATTTGGATCAACGCGATGGCCGCTAGGAAGGATGTCAGGTTGAAGTGGAGTTTTATGCTCTATAAATACCGGTGGGAACAATCTTAGAGACTCACACAAAGCTCCATGGAGGTACACCAGTTTACGCGACTCTTCAACATTGAAAAAACTCCATTTATCATCTTCTTTGACATGCAACTTTGCTTTCATCTCTTCTCGGATTTTGTTTTCTGCTAAAGGGTTTGTCGCAATGAGCCAGAAAAACCAAGTGAGGGCAGCACTTACGGAGCCTTTCCCTGCGAAGAGCATATTCATTAAGTTGTCTCTAAGAAACTTCACACAATCACCAGAAGAACCATTCTTTCCTGTGTATGCTTTCATGAATCCTGATAGCAAGTCAAAACCCTCCTCTTGGTGCTCCACCATTTTGGCTTTGCTTTCACTTTCTTCGCGCTTCATTGAAATACGCTGGTTCACAAATTGATCAATGTCCAGCAAAGCATTACTCAGCTTCTTCTCTCTGCCAATTTGAAGCCATTTTTGCAACTTCCATAAGCTTTCTGGCAATATGTGCCTATAGAATATGGCCTCCTCAGCATCAAAAAATGCCTTCTCACATGGAATGTGTGGTAAGGCAATGGAGAGGCTGCCTGGATCATGCCCTGCAACTATCATGCAGATAGTATCAAAAGTAAACCTTTGAAGTAGCCCTTGCAAGTCAACCTCAGTTCCTAGGCCGGAGATGCGATCAAGAACTGGTATTAGCCCTTCTTTCACCTTCTGCCAGCTACTTCTCTCTATGAGGTTTCGGAACTTCTCGTGGTTCATCATGGGCAAGGCGGTTTTCCTGTGGGCTTCCCACACCTCTGAATCAGTGTTGAGAATCCCATCTCCAAACATTTCAAAAATCATTTTAAATTCAGGACCTTTGGGGTAGTTTGAGAAGTTTCTGCTCAAGATGTGGTGGATATTGGCAGGATCAGCAGTGATCAGCATGTCCATGTTAGCAAACCAAGGGCCTTTAAACTCAAATGTACCTCCATATTGCTTGAGAACCTCGGTGGCAATCTCAAGGAGGTTGTTAGCAACTCGAATAAGCCCCGGCAACATACCAACAAGAGGCCAATTTATTAGTATGGAGCTTCTCCAATAACAAAGAACAATAAAGCATAGAAGTAGAAAGAGTATCTCAGGATATTCAATGATAGCCATTGTATCAGAGTGAGATGTGCTGTTTAAGGTCTCCATACTTGGTTTTTATAGTGTTACGAAATATACCAAGGCGTTAACACGCTCCACTCTCAGACACTTGCAATGTAACTTACTCTCCATTTTAATTCGCCCCCACCCACCCACCCACCACCCAAACACTAAAACACACACCGTGAGCCTATTTTGGCTCTGTGCCAGCAAGTATTTACACCACATGCATCAAAAAAGTTAAAAGGGGTTAAAATTGCACCACATGGAACTTACTCTCCATTTTAATTCCTCGACCCCATCCACACGCACAGGACCAACCTGTGCTCGCTCCGTGAAAGCTATGAACGACGAAGAAGAAAGTGACAACCCAGTCGCCAGAAGAATGTACACCACACGCATCAGAAATCATTGCACAACATGGAACAGCGGAAATCATTCACCTCCTTTTTAGTTCGAAGGACCAAGTCATGTCTAGCAACTGAAAACATCCTTTAACCACCTTAAGTACTATTTTAGCCAAGTTACAAATAGTGATAGCAGTATTGTCTGGGTGTCCTACTTTTGAAGCAACATTCATTTTTTAGAAAGTAATGTGTAATTTTAGAATAAACTGATAAAAGTGCTTAGAAAAACATTTCTTTTGATAAAAACTAATACTACTTTAGCAATAACAAGAACCAAGTGAGAACTGCACATATGGTGTCTCTTCCGGCGAAAAGACCAAATTTGAAAGGCTGTCGTTCTGACAATATTTGGAATTACCAACTAGCCCCCAAAATCCCCCAGGGTATTAAATATTTTTCCCCAAGGAAGAAGAAAAAATGAACTAAATACTCCAATCAAGAGATGATTAGCTAACCAACAAATGAATGATCACGAAGATGCAAGCAATAGGAAAATGTAAGTGATAGGATGCAACACTCAATATCAAGTCAATATATAAGAAAACAAAAGCAGGAGAGGCTCAAAATGGGCAGAGAAACAAAGCATATATATAGGATATTCACTCAATAAATATGAATGAAGCAACGATCCCAGTTTGAAGGATTTGGACATTGGAATGTATGTTTCTGTGAGGGGACAGTTATCGTTTTAAATGGTCCTTAAATTTGAATATATAGGATATTCACATACTTTTGGATTGTCCCAAACTTAAATTATTATTTCATGCACCATAACTGTTGTATATATATGATGGCGTAGTTTCTTGGTGTGCATAATGTTTGATATGCAGGAATGTAGTAGTAAATAATCTTACTGATATAAGTTGTGCATTTGTGTTTGGAGCCAAAGTATCTAGCTCTATACAATTAGTTTGGGATGAGTTTATCATGGTATTGTTGAATCTATATATCGAAGCAAATTGTTCTGCGAAACTAATTAATTACAGAATTAAGTCAATTAATGTAGGTAAGAGTACTGGCCCTTCACATTTCATGCAAATTCTAGAAGGCTAGCATGAGATTTTAGTCCCAAGTACTTCAAAATAGATCCCATGCATGCCAAGTTCAATAAGTGAGGTCCAGACCCACAGCAACTACTGTAATGTTATAGTAGAAAGGATGGATGTGCATCACCCCATCCATCCTTTCTACTATCCGTTCCATTCAACCAAACAAAAAATGGGAAAGACACCTTCCCTTCGCTAGGAATTCCTCATCCATCCATCTCTCTATCTCTTCCATCCATTTTTCCATCCCTCTAACCAAACGAATGACTTATTTTTATGGCTTTGAGAAAGTAGCCCATGAAAAGCGGGTGGGTAGAGCGAGAGAGAGAGAGTGTTTTGTGTTTCGTAGGGGCCAAGAGATAGTGATTGGTAGGAATTATGTCTCAAATTCCTATTATAATTCAGTTTCTATTTTATGCAATGTTTGGTTGGAGGGATGGATGAGAGGAGGGATGGATGGATGAAGCTTTTCATGTTTGGTTGGAGGGAAGGGAAGAGGAGGAAGCAAAAAAAAAAGTATCACCCCATCCATCTTTTCTACTATCCATTCCATTCAACCAAACAAAAAACGAAAAAGACACCTTCCCTTCGCTAGGGATTTCTCATCCATCCATCCCTCTATCTCTTCCATCCACTTTTCCATCCCTCCAACCAAACGGAACATTAGAGTATATTTTTTAGGTAATTTCTTGGTTGGCAAATCTTGGCCTTTAAGGATTTCTTGTCTTGAGCTCTAAGGAATTTCTTGTTAGCCAAGTCTTGAGCTCTAAGGAAACGTAATCCTTGGCCACTAAGGAGTTGAGTTTATGGCTCTCTATATAGATACCTAGGTTATTTTTGAGATAGATATATTTCGTGGAGGAGTGTAGGTTTGCTCTTAGTCCCCACAAAAGAGTGAATTCTCTCTTAGCCCCCAAAAGAGAGGGTTTGGAAGTAAAGTGTGGAGTTGAGTGGAGAAGGTACAGAAGAAAAAAGAATGGAGGAGTAAGTAAGAAGATAAGAGAGTGAGTGAGAGTAGAGAGATTCAAAATTAATGGGTGGGTAATTCTCTATAGTTGTATATTCTTTTCTCGATTCATTATAGTGAAACTTCCTCAAACATAAGTCGAGTTTGGCTTTAGTACGTAAAATATTGTGTGTTACATATTGTTGGTTTTGTTTTAATGATTGGATTTCCATGTCTGTGATGTGTTCGGTGTTATTTGATAACTCAATTCAACGCTTAATTCTAAACGGATTAAGCGTTTATCCAATTAAGCGCGTTTGATAACGCAAATTGAATATTACTAAAAATGGTAAGGGCCAATTAAAATAGGGTAAAATTTTATGTGACAGGAAAATCACTTATTACTGAATGTTGAACCCTAAAAATTCAAAAAGATATCAAAAAAAATATTACTTTTTTAAACCACTTAAAAACTTCAGCACTTCAAATTCAGCTCTTCAAATTTTAAGTACTTAGTTTTCAGTTTTATTAAATAGAACCGAATCCTCTTATCAGGCCATTTTGTCATGAACAAATGTGTTGGTATTTCGCATCTCACTAATTTGACTAAATTAATTAAGATCGTTGAAAATTTTGATTAGCGAAAGAAAAATATATTTTTTTCCCTGCTTTTCCCCGAAAGTTAAATCAAACACACGCATTACCCATGACATGCTCTTAATGGGGCTCGAACTCTTAACTTCTCCAAATTATATCATCCGAGCTAGAGGCCTTGTGGTGTGAAAGAAAAACGTTCTCTTTGTGAGATAGTTAAATTTGTATTCCTCAAAAGAGAGATTAAATGTAAATAATCCCTCCTCGCCTTGGAAGCCTACATCGTCCATTTAATCTCTTAAATGGAAAGTATGTTGCTGTGCTCGGGTTGGACAGTTCTAGTTAATGGTGTTTTAAGGAAACCTATCCCACACTAATAATTGCTGCTTCTTTTTTTCTTTTTGAGTAATAATATCAAGAGAGCTCTCTCAGTCCTTATGACGAGTTGAAATATCTATATTTAATTACTCAATTGATATAATTTTTTTGAAAAGTAAAATGAAGTTTTTAATATTCCGTCCATTCTATATTAGTAGTTCCTCCTTTTTTTAATCTTTTTTTTTATGTCCCAAATTAGTTGTATGTTATTTTTTTTCATTGGTAATATAAATATTTAAGCTTAAAAGAAAAACTTGTAATTTGAAAAGGGTACTATGCACATTATGAGGGAGGGAGAAGTATTTCAATCTTTATGGAGGGCTCTTGTATAGCATTACTTTTTTACCCAACTATTGTTATAAACTAAAGAGTTGATATTATATATATTTAATTTGCTTGACCTTCCTAAAAAAAAAAAGGTTGATATTAAAAATTAGTATATGAAAACAGTGTCTGAGACCGTACCAAAGACTTGATGGATGCCCGATTCACGCCGACCATGCTCTGGCGGACTCCGGCCAGATCAGTTTCTGAAAAAGAGGAGTTAGATCGTCAGCGCTCGGCAAACCCACCTCCCACTCCGACACTGTCTTCGTCGCCGCCTCTTTTGTATCCACTCGTTTTCCGATCACTTCTCTGCCCATCTAACAAATGTAGGGTTTTCTTCATTTTCGGTTCATGTTCACAAACATTTGTAGAAATTTTGAAGAATTGGTTTGGTTTAGAGCAAAAGTCAGAGATAAATTGTGGAGAGAGAAGAGAGAGGCGAGCATGTGAAGGATTGAGTCGATTGAATCCATTTATGGATTGAATGGGAAGATGATGAAGAAGATTAGTTATTAGGTTTTCTGATTTTGGGGGCATTAAGCGAGGTTAATTAGAGAATACTTTCAATAAAGGGTAAAATGAGAATAATAAGGGTATTTTGGTAATTAAATTTTTAGACCCCGAAAAATTGCATTTTTGAAGTTTGAACATTACTCGAGTAATCGGATTAGCTCTAATAAGTTTAATTACGAAAATACCCTTATTATTCTCATTTTAGGATGCTGCCAAATAAATCTCGAAATAGCCCACCATTTTCTTTTTTATTTCACACCATCCTAAAACAACAATCAAGCGAGTGATTCACCAATTTTTGTCCCGCAAATGAGAGAGGTAGTAGTGGTGGATGGTGGGATCGTGGGATTGTGGTAGAAGTGTATTTAATATAAATATTTTAATAAAAAATAAATTATATTTAAGATAAATATTTTAATTTTTTAAAATACTATATATTAAAAGTGCTATATTAGAGACCTTCTTATATGGTAAAGGAGATAGACCTTTTTAGGGTACAAATGATTAATACCGTATATATCCCACCATATCTGTTTAACAAATCTCCATTAAAAAAAAAAAAAATTTGACTCGGCTGTTATACTATTTATATAATACAATCCATTACATTACTATTTTTATGAATCTAAGAGAAAATATAGAGTAATATTGAGGAGTTGCAACACACTTGATATAAGAACAGAATGTAAGAGAAACAATAGATAGAGAAGGAGATAGAATTCTCATTTGCTTCTATTGGTGTGTCCCATTTACAAAACACTACACTTCTTTATATAGCCTTCACCACCTAATGCACTGCACTTCACTCATTATATTATCTTATATAAGGCAAGCAATACTTAACCCACTTCAATACATAATCTATTGCTATACACAATCCTCTAAACATACCATCTTCTATAATAACACTCATGAATGGGGTAAAGCATGAAGTGGACCCTACTATATTACAACACTCTCCCTTATGGTCTACTGCACTATACTAAGAATATGCCTCATTAAAACCTTGCTAAGAAAAATCCAGTGGGATAAAAACCAGCGAAGGAAAAAGAGTACAATATCTTTGTGTTATTAAAAATGGTATTGCACAGGTTAAAACTGCCTCATTAAAACCTTGCTAGGAAAACCCAGTGGGAAAAACCACAGCGAAGGAAAAAGAGTATAGTATGCCAAAACATTTTTAATTCAATTGATCCCCCTCATTCAGCATTAAATATCATTGAGTCGACGCATTCCAATATTATCCACTAACTTCTTGAATGTTGTAGTTGGAAGCGCTTTAGTGAATAAATCTACTAGATTATCACTCGAGCGTATCTAATGAACATCAATATCACGGCTCTTCTAGAGCTTGTGTGTGGAAAGAATTTTGGTGAAATGTGTTTAGTTCTGTCACTTTTTATGTATCCTCCTCTTACCTGTGCAATACATGTTGTATTATCTTCATATAATATTGTTGGACTATCTTTGATTGAGGAGAGTCCACATGATTCTCGAATATGTTGTATAACAGATCTCAACCAAATACACTCTCTACTTACTTCATGAATTGCGAGTATCTCAGAGTGATTTGAGGAAGTTGCAGTCATGGTCTATTTCATAGATTGCCATGATATAGCAGTATCACCACAAGTAAACAAGTACCCTGTTTGTGATCGGTCTATATATGGTCAGAAAGGTAACCTGCATCTACATATCCGATCAACTGGGGCTTTGATTTTTTTGAATAAAACAACCCCATATCAGTTGTTCCCTGAAGGTAACACATAATGTGTTTGACCCCATTCCAATGTCTTCGAGTTAGTGCAGAACTATACTGTAACGACCTAAAAAGATACCAAAATAATAATAAAAATCTATAAAAATTTCGACATGACCTCCGCAGAAAATATCCCTCAACAATCTGTTGAAATACAAAAATAAATGCAATGGCCTCACTGGGCCTTAAATCTAACTTATCATGTCCCAACGCACAATTCAGATATTATACTACATTCCCAAAATGGTTACATACATACATAAGTCTCGTTCCTCCATCTCATTCAAAGAAGGGACACACCTGTTACATAAAGTTACAGTCCATAATTGTAGCTAAAATTTTAAAATCCATAACTTACAACATTATATCAACTAAACTAAAGTTTCACAAAATATTTAAGATTACATTTACAAAATATATATTAAAGTTCTAATACAAAAGATAGCAAAATAAAATAAATCTCCAAGCTAATCTAAACCAGTGGTGGATCGTCATCCGTCACCTCTTTTCCGTGTCCTGAAAAATGTAAAAAAATAATGGGGTGAGCATAAGCTCAGTAGGAAGTGTCTAAGACACACTTCTTATATCTCCGTGAATCCCACACAAAGATGGATAAAAAGGGACGGGGTCATACCATAGGGAAAACATAATCTCAATCACAACGACAAGCATAGTATAAATAACATCCAATCACAAATTTCCCACATGTACCATGAAGTGCAATGTCATGCCTATGCCACTCCCCGTTTCCGAAATAATTTCGTTTCAACAACCAAATCGTTAATGTAATCCGACCCAAGGCACCTCTAAGGCGTCACGAAAGGAAGGTTGGTTAACTATCCACGACCACAAGGCACCTCCAAGGCGTCACATCCGGCCTAGTTAACTCAACTACATTCCTTTCTAGACTACACTAACATCATGGACCACTAGGCGCCTCCTAGGCGTTCGGTTTTCGCAATACTTTAGAAAATATTTTTCCCAAAATAATTTTGTTTGTTCTAAAAATATTTTTTTCCCCTTCTCTTTCCCAATGAATGCATGAATGCTTGTACTTTAATTTATCAACCTAACTATATAACTTTCACACATACTATACAAGACAAATTTATGAAATACATGATGGAGCTCTCATTTAATATTAACTTTGCATAACTAGCATGTAAACTATAAACTCAATTTCATACAAACATTTAAGCATGCTAAATCACCTCAAAACAATTAACAAATAGTCACATACATTCCATGCTTATTATTCTAAACAAATTTTTGCAATAATTAGCACTAATTGAACATGTTAGGCATCACTTTAAGCTAGAAACTCACAAAAATATAAGAATTCATGCATTAGAACACTCATACCTCACTTAGATGCAAAACCCCCAATTTTGAACCCAAGAATCCTAGAATTTCGAACTACCCAGAGTGCACCAAATAATGATCGGCTCCTATCAAATTGAAGGCCTTGACGAGCTCTTCGACTTTGTTTCACAAGGTTCTACCAAATTTCAATTGGTGAGAGTGAGATCCAATCTTGAAATTGCAAAAACAAAAAAAAAAATGGAGATGCCCAGACGCAGCAGAGAGAGAGAGAATAAAGAAGTCTGCGAAATGGCCTTATAGCCTTTTGTTATGCTTTTAACTCATTGGTGGGGCCCACCAACTTTTGAAAAAAAATCTTTTAACTTTAATATACATATATATATATATATATATATAAACATTACATTCTCCCCAACTTTAAAAGATTTCGTCCCCGAAATCAGGCCATACCTGAGGGAGAAAACAACTCTGGATACTTGGAGCGAACCTCCTGTTCTAGCTCCCAAGTAGCCTCCTCAACTCCATGATGCCTCCAAAGAACCTTTACCAACGGTATCGTCTTTTTCCTCAACACCTTCTGTTATGTATCAAGGATCTGAATTGGTCCCTCCTCGTAGGAAACATCCTCATCAATGTCCACATCAAACCAACTCAAAATGTGAGACGGATCTGGCTCGTACTTCCGTAGTATCGACACATGAAAGACATTATGAACCCTGTCCATCTGTGGTGGCAATGCTAGTCTGTAGGCAACCTCTCCTATGGTCCAAGATCTCAAAAGGTCCAATAAATCGTGGCGACAACTTGCCACTCTTCCCGAACCTCATCAACCCTTTCCGTGGAGAAACCCGAAGAAAAACATGGTCTCCCACCCCAAAGGATAGCGGTCGTCTCCGCTTATCTGCATAACTCTTCTGTTGGCTTTGAGCTGTAAGTAATTTCTGCCTGATCAGCTTAATCTTCTCGGTAGTCTTAAGTACAATGTTGGGTCCTAAGGCGGCTGTCTCGCCCACCTCAGTCCAACAGACAAGAGACCTACAAGGTCTACCATACAACGCCTCAAATAGAGCCATCTGAATACTCGCCTGATAACTGTTGTTGTAGGCAAACTCAATAAGTGGAAGGTGATCCTCCCAACTACCACCCAAGTCAAGTACACAAGCTTAAAGCATATCCTCCAAGATCTGGATGGTACGCTCCGATTAGCCGTCCGTTTGTGGATGGAATGCAGTACTAAGGTACAACGCTGAGCCAAACGCTGTTTGAAGTCCTTCCCAGAACTTCGAAGTGAACTTAGCATCCCTATCCGACACAATAGCCACTGAAACTCCGTGCAATCTCACAATCTCTTTCACATAAAGTACACCGAGTGCTTCTGCGTCATCTGTTACCTTAATAGGCAAGAAGTGAGCCGTCTTGGTCAATCTATCGATAATGATCCATATGACTTCATTTTCCCTCCGTGACCTAGGAAGACCCGTCATAAAATCCATTGCAATCTCCTCCCATTTCCACTGCGTTACCAGCAATGGCTGCAATAAACCAGCTGGTCTCTGGTGCTCGACCTTTACCTGCTGACAGGTAAGGCACTTAGCTACAAACTATGCAACATCCTTCTTCATTTCATTCCACCAATACTGACGTCTCAGATTATGATACATTTTGGTACCACCGGGATGAACTGCAAATCGAAAAGTGTGAAACTCCGGTAAAACGTCCTCACGACAAACTGTGGGAACAACCAACAAACTCCTGAACCGTAAACCTCCATCTGCATGTAAGGTCCAATCCTTCACGGTTTCGCCACTGGAAATCAAGGTGTGAATGACATCTAAATTCGAATCTTATCTCTGTGACTCAATCACCCGTCTAACAAGAGTGGGTTGAGCCACAAGACTAAACAAGAATACTGACTCACTGCCATCA